GCTGGCGGCCCCGGTTTTGGTTAGAAATCTGAGTGGTGGCCAGACTGTAAGGTGTCCCAGGTTTGGCATCATGTGTTTAATCAATCCCTCCCAGCCCACAACCTCTTCCTCCTGAGTGTAGTCCTGCCTTACTCCTGAGTGTAGTTTCCTCAACAACTACATAACTAGTTTGAAAGCAGCACCTTGTCTTAAATAATGTAAATTATTTGTTTATGTGTGTGGTTGTTTCATGGCTTGTAAACAGAGCGCAAATCTGGCTGCCCCAGGACTTAACGGAGCTGCTGGATTGTCGCTTCCTTAACAACTTCAGATTGTTGATGCACATGCAAAATGGCATGGGCTTTCATTATAACACAGTTCATTTTTTTCTTTTAATTTCTCGAACTGTAGTTTGAGAGAAGTCTTGTTTCATGGAAAAGAACATTTCAAGATATTCAAACTTTCTCATTGAACTCAGTTTTATATATGGTGCCTAAATGGCAGAGTGGAAAACCTGTTCATGTGGGTGCCTCTTCATTGTAGCCATTCAAAAGCTGCTGTTAAACTGGGATCTATCTGCTCTTTAACTGAAGAGGGGAAGAAAAAGAAGTTTTGGGGGTTGTCTGGTGTGAATGTATAGGTCTTGCATTGTTCAGGATGGCTTGTGATGCTGGTGTAAGGTGGGTGGTGTTTTGGTGCTGCAGTGTTCGCGGTGGCTTGGATTCCCCCACGTGTTAGGCACTGTGTACTTCTGGAGGAACAGTTTTTGTCTGGGTGTCTGAGCTATATTAGGGTTGCACAGACGACTTACTCTACCAAGGTGGAAGTGAAATCTAGCACAATTGGCTTGTAAACAGAAATAAAAAAATTATCTTCTGTGCCTGTCTGGAAAGGCTGTATTGTAACAGAAAAGAAATAATGGATGCTAACAAATTAATGCATTTTTAATGCTGGACATTGACTATTGCAATCTTTTTTCGTAGTGTTCACTTTTCATGCAAGAAGTAGGTGAGCTGCAGGAAAGCCCCAAGTTCTTGCCCTTCCTCCTCTGTTTCCTTATGGTGTGTGTAAAAACTTCTGTGGCAAATGCCACTGATTTGGGAATTGAGGCGTGGCTATTTTTTTAAAAGGAATTTTTCTGGTCCTTATGGCTATCTGGGAAGAGTGGAGGGAACTTCCAGATGTTAACTAAGTAATAAATCGATACAGTGCCGTCTTTGTGTCTGTAGACAAATCACCCTTGTGCTTGCAGTCCTTCTAGACTTGCCAACCTACAGCCGAGTGAATTAGACCAGCATCTGTCAATTTTCAGAGCTAATATTGATAACTTTTCATATGAGCAACAATTAAACTGCTTAAAAATGGAGAAAAAAAAAAAAATGAAGCCACTGTCACATTGACCAGGAGTGGCAGGGTCATGGCTGGCTGTGGATTGCCCCAAAGTGCCTCGTCTGTTCTTTTGTGGGAGCCACCAGAAACATCCAGGCAGAAAGAATGAGCAGCTCAGAGCACATCTGTGGGGCTGGCAGCCCGTGGGGATAGCAGGCAAACAGCTGTGGGCCACGCAGGGGTCAGGAGCTCCCGAAATGACTGTGCAGGCACTTCACTTACTACAAAAGCTGGAAAAAGCAGTGGGATTTTTTTTTTTACATCGGTGTCTGCTTCTGGTGGATGCCTGCCAGGAGTCAAATCGTACGTCCTTGGCACAGGTTAGATGAAAATCTGAGATGGCCAGACTGTCAAGCTGGTCCCTCTCTGAGGGTAAACTAAGGACATGTAATTTAAAGTCATTAACCTCTGAGTAGATTGCACTTGGCCTGTGCTGATTTCAAGGCAGGTAATTGTGCTAGCGCTCTCTGCTCAAAATTGTTCTATTTTTAGTACAGATAATGGGAAGAAATGCGGTTTTTCTTCAGAAGCAGCGAAAGCATTGTATGAAGTGTTGCTCCCACATACACATTTCTTCCACCTACACGTTTGTCTGCAAGTTGTTTGTACTTTTTTCTGGGTTTGAGCCTTTAATATTCGTAGGTTTGCAAACCTTTCTTGTAGGATGATCTTTGATAGCGAAGTTGCATGCATCTCACAGGTTCTTTCCATGCTCGTTATGCCTCAGTTTTATGTCTCAATAGGTTTCTTCAAAACTTGCTTTGAAACTGTATATCCTTTTTACATTTTAATCAGAACCTGTATTGCTCCGTTTCGCAGTATGGGTGAAATTCGCTCTGGGAGCCGAAGCTGTTTAGCAGCTTTGAAAAAAGTAGTTTCAGCTTTAAAACAAAAAAGGCGGTGGAGGACAAAAATAAAAATACCCAAATGCTGCTATCTTACATTTGGGACTAGAAACTTGAACAAAAAAAAAAAATCTTCTATTCAAATATTTTGGGCAGTATTTAAACTACTGTCTCGCAGAACGGTCGGTAGTCCAACAGCACATTGTTTGCGTTAAATGTATAGGGAGAGCTTTGCTTTAACCGGCTGGCTGACTGTTAAATAATGTTGTTCGAAAGTTGCGGGTCCCTTGAGGGTAGCAGGCGGTGTATTCAAAGTGAAAGTAGGTTACTGATTCTGCAGAGTGAAGTGGTTTTAAGACCAAATAGCTTTGATAACTCAGAATAAGCCCCTTTGTTGTTTTTATTTGAAGTGGTACGGTGTTCATACACAGTGGTTTATTATACAGAATATTCCTTAAATGAGCAGAGGTGAAACGATGGCACGATATGTAAAGAGAATATTTCAGCATTCAGTAGACAGTGGGGGTGGAGGTAAAGCTTCCTTTTCATGACTAGTTTTTTGCCTTTTTTTTTTTTTTTTTTTTTTTTTTGCTGTCTAGCAGCAGCAGCATTCTGGTAGCCTTCCTGATTTACTCGTGCATCTTGAGATGCTCAATATGCTGAGGAAATAATCAGGTATCATTTTCTACATGACATAGTGATTTTCTGAGCTTCTGAATAATTCATTAAATTTTTTTAAAGGAAAAGCTAAACAGCGGATTTTATCATGCCCACTGCTTTCTGAGGGCCTTGGTTATGGGGTTGTAATTATTTTGGCTTGTAATCACAACCAGTTTCTTCTATTATTTACTAGCTTTTCCATCTGAATATTACTTGTGATCACAAGCCAATGTTAACAGTCCATCTCCACGTATTTCCTGGCCCAGCTGGGTCTTGGTGCTCGTCTTCCTGCCTCACCTCTGGAGCTGGGAAGCGGGGACCTGAGCCCCTGCTGAGGACGGAGCGAGTATGCAGCTGCTGGAATAGACCCCACGGCTGCGGCGGTGTGACTGTCTGCAGGGTACTCTGTCAGGCATCTTCAGGGCACTTTCTGAGCACATTTGGAAATATTGGAGAATCTGTTAATTAACTTTAAGCTGGTAATCAGATGACTGGTGGTTGGTCCGTGGCTTTCCCCAGCGAGTCACTTCACAAAGATGGTAGGGCACGGTTCAGTCACCTTTATTATTCAAACCACCGAGGACATTGGTAGGTTCATCTCCTGATCAGTTAAATTCACTTCAAAGGGGGAAATTTCTGGTGGAAGAGTAAAAGAGAAACTACAGTTTATAAATTGTATCAAAACGTGTTCGGATGGAAGTTACTGCATTTGTAGTGTGGAGAGTATTTTAACTCATTAGGATGTGGAAGGAAATCTATCATAAGAATCTATGTCTGTAGTACCGATTTAACCCACCGCTAACCCACCACAGTTGGTTGCTTTTTACTGCTCCAAGAATACTACTGATAAAAATGACCATATGATTCTGTGAAATCCGAAGGTTTTCTGCCTGTCTCTGCTGGGCTTAGCCCAAGCTTATAGCCACAAGGAAATTTTCAGACTCCAGTAGTGGGGATCTGTTTTTCTTCATACTTAGCTGCTCAATCCGTCCATTTTCTGTGAGGGCCCTTCTCTGTCCTCTAGACACAGAACATCTCGGAGGCTCTGGCCTTAATCCTCCTCTTCTGCACCCTCTGTTTGCAGGTTTAGTTCCGAGTATGCTGTTTGGTCAGGAGTTCCAGTGTATTTCTGACTTGATCCGCGCAGCCAAAAATCTTGGCATGATGTTGCAGTACTGTGCTACCAAAATGTAATTGTCCTGGTGAAAAATAGATGTGAGAGCTTGATTACTTGTATTCATTAGAGATCACGTGGCATTTTTTGCAAGAGGAAATAACAGTGTCCTGGTCAAATTCCAACTTGGATAACTGCAAGTGAAATTTAGATGGGCAAATGTAATATTGTTTGGCTACTGCCTTGAGGAATAAATAGCTGGGGGAAGGGAGAATGAGACAAAAGAGTAAGTGCCTTAAATCAAGAGGCTGTATGAGGGATCTCTGAGGTGGAAACAAGCAGGGGACACGGTGTTCTTAATCTGATTTAGTGCTGCAAGTAGAAAATGTCTCCATTGAAATTCTTCATGCATATCTACATTAATGGAATGTTGTTGGGTATAATATGTCCTCTTTCTGGGAAAGGGTGGGCTCCCTTTGGGAGACACAGAAGGAGAAGAGGGATTTCTGTGGAGGTGTGCACCTTGTTTGATGGAGAGGCAGATGGGAGTAGAGCAGAGTCTTGGGGCCATCGGTGCTCCCGAGAGTCCAGCAGAAATGCAGATCGGCATCTTGACCCAGCATTGAGGCAGGTGGTGGTGATCTTTGGTGGGTGGAGAATATTCATTTTAAAATTAATAGCATGCCTTGATTTCCATGTCTCAGGAGTCTAGTACCAGTTCTGGTCCCACCAAAGGTTGCGTGTATTTGTACCTAACTGCTGGTTTGGCTTGAGACAGTGCTATAGGACAGTCCGCCCCCAGCAGATACGGCTCAAAGATAATATACCCTGTGCTTTACCCGGGTTGTACAAACTCGAAACAAAAGAATTTGATGGAGATTTTAGTGATTTTTTTTTTTTAATTGACTTTGTTTTCTCTGTTGTCTTTTATAGATAAAATGTTCAACGGTTCGTTGGCAACTTTCTTCAGAAGAATAATTACTACTGCTCTGCTCTTGCCATAATACCAGAATTCTGTGACCTACACATCAGTGCAAAACACTACCAGAGAATCCTATTTTGATCATTCTGTGTAGATGGAACAGGCATCGGTCTTGAGAGCCCATCCTGATGTAAAGCTGCTTACTTGGTTTTCCAGGATTAAAGGTGCTCAATGAATCAGGGCCCCCCAAATGAGTCAAACAGCCAATTCTTGCCAACAGTTGGTTGAAAACTGTGCCGCGCATGTAGCAGGGATGGCGCAAGAGGACAGTCGCCGTGGTCAAGTGCCACCCACGTTTTATCATGGTGCCAGCCAGGAACTTGATCTGTCCACCAAAGTATACAAGAGAGAGTCAGGAAGTCCTTACTCTGTGTTGGTGGACAGCAAAATGAGTAAACCACATCTCCATGAAAGAGAGGAGCAGCCATATTTCAGGGAGAACAGATCGGTAGGAGAGGTCCGGGCTGTGAAAGAAGATAGAGAAAACTCTGACGACTCTGAGGAGGAAGAAGAGGAGGAAGATGAAGTGACTTACAAAAGGGAGCAGATTATAGTAGAGGTAAACCTTAACAACCAAACATTAAATGTATCAAAAGGGGAGAAGGGTGTCCCCTCCCAGTCCAAAGAGACTGCTGTTCTTAAGACCAGCAGTGAGGAAGAGGAGGGTGACAGTGGGGACGAGGCCACTGAAGACAGTAGTGATTATGAGGAAAATGAGAGGCAGAAGAAAAAAGAGAAAAGAGTGGAAAAAGTTAGTGTTGCACAAAGGAGAACAAGGAGAGCTGCATCTGCTGCAGCAGCCACAACTTCCCCATCACCCAGAACTACAAGGGGTCGTAGAAAGAGTGGGGAGCCCCCCAAGCGTAAGAAGAAAGCTGCAAAGGAGCCCAAGGCACCTGTGCAGAAATCAAAGTGTGAAGAGAAGGAGACTTTAACCTGTGAGAAGTGCCCCAGGGTGTTTAACACACGCTGGTACCTGGAGAAGCACATGAACGTCACTCACAGGCGCATGCAGATCTGCGACAAATGTGGGAAGAAATTTGTTCTAGAAAGTGAGCTGTCCCTTCACCAGCAAACAGACTGTGAAAAAAATATCCAGGTAGGTTTGCTCACCTGCTTGCCAGATTTCCATACCTTCTGTCGTGCCCTGGATACAGCTAGCGGACACTTCAGAGGGGGAAATCTTTTGCACAGACCAGGTTCTGACCGAGACCTTGTCTCTACGTATCAACGCTTTGGTGTCTTCCAAAAGAAGTAAATTGCAGGGAACAGAGTGTACAACTGCCATCTGCTTTAGCAGAGTTACTTTAGTGTTTAACTATGAGTTTGGGAAAATGCAAAGCTACTTTAACCAATGTCAGACTCAAGAGTAACTGGCCTGACAACAAATACATTTGCAGTGAAGTACTTTGTCAGGATAAACCCTCCTTCTTCAGGTGCTGAGTACCTGCAGCTACCCCTAGCCTTGAAGTTCACAGTGTTTCAGTGTCCTGAAATCAGTCACAGAATACGTCCAGGTAAGGTTTTAAGGGAGAACGGAATGATGGCACTTTGCTGGTATTAGAATCAGAAATTTGTAAAATAGTGGAGAGGCAAGCAGGTGAGAAGGAAACTAGTGGAGTCAGGACTTGAACTTGTGTTCAAATGTAAAAATCCTAATGAGATAACATATACAAGTAGTTACAGTAATGTTCATGTGTGGGTATGGAAATGTACGAATTCAGCAAGTAAATCTGTTCATGAGCCTGCCCTTTTCCCAGTACAAAAAGCTCAGTAAATCTCACGGATAATATAAAGGTCTCTGGTCTTTCTCACCAGAAGATTTGCAGCTTTTAATTTTACACAACAATGGAAGCCTGTGTTGTAATAGAACCATTTTAAAGTTTAAGTTGTGGAAGGAGTTTCAGAGTTTCTGATTCATCTGTGGTTTGTACTTTGCTCGTAGGCATCTATGTTCTCATGTAACTGGGGGCACTGTTGTTTTATCTGGTGATTCAAACGTGCTTTTTTTTGCCTTGTTCAACTGGGCACAGCATTGCCACCTACTTCTGAAATAATCCCCCTGCCAGCATGAAGCAGCTTGAGTTCAATTTTTGTGCAGCTGAAATGTTCAGAGCTTGGAGGGCAACGAGTTTTTTGTCTATCCAGTGAGTTTTACCAGAAAGATTTAAGATTTGTTTGTTTGCTTAAATGCTAAACTGAATTGGTATTCAATTCCCACTGTGTGGGAGACAGTTGAAATATTTATTGCAATTTCTCTTTGCTGTAAGACTCAAATGCAGCTCTGTATAACGTTATGCTATTTTCCCTTATGTTTCAGCTCATAGGAGGAAGACTGAAGGAAGGAGTATAATATCAGATAATGAGTCATGAGCATAGTTAGGAAAGTGCATAAACATTTCAGTATGTCCTTACAGTTTTTGAAAGAGCTACTTCAAAAGTTTAGTGTAGCAGAGAACATTTAAATGTAAATTTAAGGAAAGCCCTACCATCCAGGTGGCTCATTCACAGCATAAAATCTTTTGACTTTAAACAGGAATTCATGAGTAGTTTGAATAGAGAAGTATCCTGTAATCCATGCACACACATGGTTCTGAGGGGTTATGTTCCTGTGTCCAAAAGTGACAGGAAAAGAAGAAATTGTAGAAATTGTGGTTTATATCCAGTACCAGAAGAATAAGGTCCAGAAACTTTCCCAAATATTCCAAGTGCCAGAAGCATTGCTGGTTACCTTCCAAGTTCTCAGTATAAGCATATATTCAACAATTTTTGTCTATCCTGACATTTGGAATGTGTTTCACAGCTGCCTCCTAATGTGTTTTTATTACACTTGGCAAAAGGAGTAAGGCGATACGAAAGTTTTACATTAATATAAGGTTTAATAAGTCAAGGGGGATATGGAGCTTTGTCTAGGAAAAAAAAAATGGTTTAATTATGTAAGTGGTAATCGAACTGATAACCGTGGCTGGCTCCCCTCTATATTTTTCACCTAAGTGATGGAATAGATCTGTTTTTCCAGATAATTTCTGGTTTTCATCCTTTCAATATTAGCATCTTCACAGAATTTCTGTTGCCATCTCAGACTCTCTGTGCTGTAGGTCTCCATATGAGTGATCTAAATTACT